AAAACGGCCCTGAGTCGCAAAAAACAGCTTCGCTCAACAAAATAACACTGTCTGGAATGTGGGGAGATAATACAAATGGACTATCCTCGATAGGACTGTTAAGGCCTACTGATAGCTCCTCTGCGATTCGCAGAAACTACAATTATTATTATAATTACTATAATTACGCCTAAATTCTGAGACGCAACTACCCGCTTAACACTAAAAACAGCCAACTGATAATTGGAAAAGTGTAATCAACTAAAAGAAAGAAAAAACTGACTTTCGAAGATAAACCAGTTTGAGAAAACTGGATCAATAAGTTAACTTCAAATTCTGCTAGGAAATCTGATTATTAAATTCTAGCGTGTAACGCACCTGCAGTACTTCTAACAGATTGATGAGCGTGATAATTGCTGTTTAGTAAAATACATTCAAAACAGCGAAAATAATGCAATAGACGAGCATCCAAGAACGCTTTTTAGTTCAAAAAAAGAACAGAAACAATTTCAACTTAATGATCTTTTTGAACTAAAATTAAGAATCTTCAAAGTGCTGGGTTTCAGGTCGTAGTATTTTGAACTCAGAAACAAAACCCTAAAAAGGCCGACAACTTTCCATAATAAACAATTTTAATGCTAAGATCTTTGAACTCATGAATGAGACTCTTGTTTATATTAGTTCTTTCCTTTTGGTAGCCCGTAAAAGATCTTTTGCTGCCATCAATAGATAAATCTAGCGTAATTATTTCAAAAATAGACTTTTTTCTTAGTTTGAATCTTAAATCTTAGTTAAAAATTTTTTTTTTGAAATATCATAAAAACGTCATTTTCGAAAACTTAAACAATTTAGGCAAGTATACTAGGACGGAGGCCACATCTGCAACCAGTAGTAGTAACCTGACTTCACCCCCACCACTCCTGAGAGTACTTGGGCATCACCCCACTATAGTGTTGGAAAGTTCAAACTTTATTAAGTTATTTTTAGATTGAGTTTTATGAAAAAGCTGGAAAAGAGAAAAAAGGCATATCTCGAAAACTGAGATGATTGGAGGAGTCAACCTTTGAGGAAAAAATGGCATTATCTGAAATTACCTTGAGATCAACCCATTATAGTGTTGGGAATTTAATGATTTGGTAAAACTTGATAACATCGAACTTTTTCTAATAACTTTTGAAAAAAATACTGAAAAAACGTCATGTTTTGGAACAAATTGACTTCAGCAGCCATATTCGGAAGAAATAATTATAACCCCTGAGACTACTCCGGCAGTACCCATCTATTGGGTTGAGAAAATCCAATGTTGTAACTTGTCTGCTAATTTTTGAAAAAAAATCATAAAAAAACGTCTCAACTCGGAAAATTGAAGCTTTTGAGCAGTCGTAGTTCGACGCAAGTTTTGCAAGTGCAGGCAGTTTCCTCAAAGTACCCAACAACAGGGTTGGGAATTTCAAATTTGGTGAAGTTTTCAAATTTTCCAAAAACTTCGAAAAATCACACAAAACGGCGTATCCCGAAAACTAAACGGATTTGAGCGGTCATTTTAAGAAGCAAGGTTCGCGACCTCAAGAGTATACTGACAGCGCCTCACTACCGAGATGGAATGTTCAAACTTCGTGAAGTCTTTTCATCTAATTTCTTTGAAAATTTTTTAAAAGACATAAAAAACGCCACATCTCGGAAACTAAATCACTGGAGCAGTCGCATTTGTATGTAAGACTTGAAACGGCTGAGAAGACACTCATAGTACCCAAGTACAGGGTTGGAAATTTCAGTTTTTTGTTTTTTATCTAAGCTTTCTGAAATTAAAAAAAAAACGTCATAACACGAAAACTACAAGGCTTTATTTGGAGAAAAAATTCGCAACCCCAGAGAGTACCCTGACAGCGCCCAACTACGGGGTTGGAAGTTTCAATTTATTGGAAATTTTTTAATTTCAAGCCTTCTGAAAAATTTAGAAAAATCTCAAAAAAGGTCGTAAACTAAAAAAATTTGGGTGTTCAGATGTGGAGGCCGAATTCGCAACACTTGAGGAAACACTGAGAGCAAACTGAATTCAAATTGGAAAGCCGAAAAAAGACCTAAACATTGCAATATAGTATGCACAGCGGTGAAGCGGAGCTTCGCACTACTTGCGATGCAACATTAACAAAAACATTAGTAGAAAAATTTTTAGATGTTGAAAAAACTACGTGAACCCAAGTTTTCGTATATCTCGACAAAAAACAACTACGGGCCTACCACAATCCGTAACGTTTTTCTGAAAAAAAGCTGTTTATGGTCGCATAAGCAGAAAAAATTTCCAAAACCTGGTTTCCGACACCCCTGAGAATTAGGCCGGTAGTTTTCGCGTAAAGTCAACAAATTTCCAAAAAAAAATATCAAACTTTCGAAACTTTCACTTTTTTGAAAGCCGTAAATTTTCTTCTTATAAAAACTAGGCATAGCTAATTGTAAAGGTAGGCTTTCAACAACCTATTTTACCGATTAAACTTATAATATAAAATTTGACTGGATAGTTAGCAAGGAAAAGTCCAAAAAATGTTCAACAAATCGAAAATTTGATGATTCCGAGAATAAGAGCTTTTTGTGTGAAAAAGTCATGCAGAAACGCTACGCTGAGAGAATTCACGCAATATTTATTTTCGGATGAACCCAAAGTCTCAGATTTGGGAGGGCAGATTTTGAGAAAAGACAAAAACTTAAAAAAAGGGTCACAAAATCAAAATTTTTTACTTTAGCGAGCAACAAAAATTTTGGAGTCAAACTATTTTTATAAGTGAATAGGAACCAAAATAAAATTTATTCTGAGAAATGAACCCAAAATCTCACATATGACAAGGTAGGTTTCGAGAATATTCAAAAAGTTTAAAAACGGTCCAAAAAAATCAAAAATTTGACTTTTAGAGGGCGATAACTTCTTTGTAAAACTTTTTGTTAGGGTCAGCTAATGCAGAAGAGATTCGCACTACCCGTTATCTCATCGAACCTACAAAATCAGATTTGAGAGGTTAGCTTTCGAGAAAAGTCAAAAAGATTCACAAAACGGTCAAAAATCAAAAAATGCAAAAAAAAGTTTGGTCGTAGCCACCTATGCAGGGGAGCTTTTTAAAGAGCTCAATGTATTGAGACCAAAAACTTAAATTTAAGACGGGTAGTTTTCGAGAAAACGAAAAAAAAAATCAAAAAATATGGTTCAAATAATCGTCCACACTTTTTCTAAGGCTACAGACAGAGGGGTCAATTAAAAAACTCTAGGGGAGGACGCAAGCACAAAAAGGAGCAATTGATACCCCTTTTTGAAAATCAAGAGAAGTTTCTGAGAAAAAAAAATTGCAAAAATTGAAAAAACTTTCCAAAACGAAAAAAAATTTTAACAAACTGATTTTTTAAAACATACAACTAATTTGAATAGTTCGGAGGTGAGTGCCTAAAATGTTTATCTTGAACGGCCAAAAATTAGGTAATTAAACCAATGGCAAATAAGCTGAAATACTTTTGGCCGAGTATTTGTTTAGCGAAACAACAAAAACACAGGAAATACGAATACAGGTTAAAAAAATTACAAAATGTAGGCGTAAATCAAGTACAAAACAAATATAAAGAACATTGTACGCAAAAAAAATAATTCCAAGATGTGACAAGTAAGCCGATAACACATAAGCATACAAATAATTAGCCGACAATTTTATTTGAAACAGAACATTCCCCGTTTGAAAATGAAAACAGGTCCTTTGCCGTCCCAGGCATATTCGTTACCACCAGGCTAACTTGGCCGCGAACGCTAGAAAATTTGAGTGCCTTATCAAACAAGGTAGCGATGAGTCTAGACGTCCAATGCGTCCTGTTCACAAAGTAGTTAGCGGGAAAGGAGTCTAGTTTCCGGTTGCAATACCCTCGCTTATCGCAAGGGTAATAGCTTAAACATGAAAAAAATCTTTAGTTAAACATGCGAAAATAATACGTAGGAAAAGCTTTAAAATGGCGAACTAGTAGCCCTCGCATTTAAATATATAATGGATCGATAGTAGATAGATTTTCAAAAGTTTCAGTCTGTCACGTTTTTGTGACCTTTACACTTTTGCTGTTCAATTGTGAAATTTCCTTCCTTTTCACAAGGAACTGAACTTCAAAAAAATCATAAGTCAAACCGCGAAAAACCAAAACTGAAGGTGAACAAATTTCAAGAAAATTTCCAGAAAACAAACAAAAAAATCACCAAGACCTATATAAGAGTATTCACTACGTTAATTACTCTTTAAAAGGGCCGTTGATTTTATAATTTATTTTCAATAATTAATGCGGAGAGTCTTTTTGTTTGTTTAACACCGAAAAGTTGGTCCAAAACAGTTGTTGCATTATTTTGGTAAATCGCTCACAACCGAAATCATTGTCATTCTGACTTCCAAATCTGTTTCCTATCATTTTGCAAATCAGCGCTAGTCTTGATCTTTGAAGATGAAAAAAAAACAATGAAATTCGATTTTATGAAAAAAGTGGGATAGAAACTAGGAAATATTGAAAAAGACCTTCAAAACCGCAAAACTTTACACGTGACGATTTATTTGTAAAAAAAAAAGTATTTACACTCAGCATTGCCCATGAGCGAAAGGGTGAAAGCAAGTTTTTCTACGTGTCTCACCTTTTTTTAATTTAGAAGAAACACTTGACAAGGGGTAAAAAGCATGACCTTTTAAGGTGCATAGCTGTCAAAAGACGTGGGGAACCGTATGCAAAAACAAAATATTTTCAAAAAATACTCGTAACCGTTTGCAATATCTGTGGGGACAAAAATCTAATTCATGAACATCTCCGATCTCTCTATGAAAACGAGTTGCCACTTTTGGCGAGTTTTCTTTTTTTTTAAAGAAAAATGCGAGCAGCCTTTTTTGCGAGTTGTCCCAGCACCTCCAACAACATCCGACAAACCAATGACAAGGCTACTAATGCACACACATCACACGTTACGCTATCGATCATACAAAATTAGTGGACAAAATTTCTATATTTGAATCCTTCTCACTAATTTAAAAAAACGAAAGCTTACAAAACTCAGTTTTTCTTATCTAAACTCTTCTGCTTCAGGATAGAGTTTTTGAACACAAGGACAAAACACAAGCTGTTGCTCTCTTTGAGAGACAACTTCAAATCAAAATATCAAAGAACATTTCTCATCAGGTAATGCACCAAACAAGGCAATTATGTTCTTCCTTCAAGTAATAGAGCATCACATCCATGTATGCCTTCATTTTGAGAGAATGACAAGCCAATGACTTGAATTGCTTCTGTTCAATTAATGCACTCGCCGCCCACGGTTTTCTTCCGTCTCTAAACTCTGGTTTTACGACGAAGTTATCCAATAGAAGTCCGGTTTTCAGCTCGAAAAGACTGACCAGCAGCTTCGAGTCTTCGGTTTGATTTCCAGGAATCACATCTTCACATCTACGCTGTCTGACTTCAAACATGAGCTTATTCGCTTGCAGTACACAATTTTTCACAGCATCATCAAAACTTTCAGTCGATGTTTCTTTAAACGAATATCGATTGTTAATAAGCAAAACCGTAGAAAAGTTACCTTTCTCAAAACTGTAGTCGTACTCAAACTCCAACGATTCGACAAACAGGTTTTTACGTAACATATTCAAATCGCGCAAATCATCGCAAATGACCAACTCAGCCTGATTCGTAAAGTTCAACTTCATAAGGCGAGCATTTTTTTGTAATTCGGAAGTTAGCTGAGACCTTTTTTCTTCCAAGAACTTCCTTTCTTCCAATGCAGATGACCACTGACTTCCTTGTAATTGGTCCACCCCCCATGAGCATAGAGTGGAACCTTTTTTTCTGGGGTCAACGGGACGACATTTCAGTTGTGACAACTCTTCGTTTAGCTGTCTATCGTCAGCTATTCTGGAAACACACGATACTGTGCCTGTCAATTCATCTTTTACTGGCATTGATTCCCTCATTCCATTTAGACAGAGCAGAACTTCTGTGGTTTTGCTGGCTGCAAGGTAGTTTTCGATTAGCTTTTTTGCCAGCTGGGTGTCACCTAATTTCACCTGAATTAATTTGGCAGCCCACGCTTCTTCAGCCATTTTTGTAGTGGAAGCTGAAAGAATTGGACACAGCTGAGATCAAATATCATTTTTTCTTATTTATTTTTCTGAAGATTTTTTTTTAATCTCAAAATTCAATACTTTGAAGTTTGCGATCAATTTCAGAACACAAATAACTTAAATACGGCGCAAAAATCGGCACCGCACCCATTATGTTGCATTTGGAAAACGTCGAATTCGCGAAAAAAAACAGCTATGATTCATTCGCCAGGTTGTGGTCGGGAAAAGGCGCAAAATCTCAAGCATTACACTTAATTTGTAACAGAACGGATTTAGGATTTTCTCGAGGGGAGGGGGGCGGATTCAAAAGTTTTCGAAAATTTTGCTTTTCTTTTTTTAGGTTGACCAAAATGATTTTCTGAGCGCTCCCAGAACAGGATAAAGTGCCTGTTTTGACACAATGTTTTACACGTGTTTTGAAGAAAAAAAAACGGGTCAAAAACGCCGTTTTCGGACACTTTTTGGAAAATTTTGACTAAAATATCGCGTTTTTTTTGGCATGCACTCACCTTCGAAATAAGTGTATGTTGGCGCCAAATCCGCCTCTAAAAACAGTAGGGTTGGTCATGTTTTAATTGATGTTTTAAAAAAAAACAGGTCGAATCCCTGAGGAAGGCGGGTCCCTGTTTTGTAATATGAAATTATCAATTGTTTTTAAGACAATCATCTTACCAAGTACTTTAATGGAGTAATAGATATCAGATGAATAGACCATCTCATGTCCAAACGCTGGGAGTAGCTTTGTTCTCCTGTGCGCTTTGGGAAGATCAATTACTTGCATCTCGCGACTTGCCACATTCCAAAGACCAAGCATATCCATCGCTTTTGTTGGAACAATGACAGATTTGGTAAATTTTCTGATTAATAATTCATTCGGTCTGGCATCTGTACCAATCGTTGGTTTAGGCGGTAGATCCAAGAACTGATCGATGGTTATGGTTCCAGGTACCCGCAAAACACCTGGAGCTTCAACAAAGATTGGTGTAAATATCAAATGACTAAATTTGTTGCGGCCTTTTGGATTTAATTTTACTTGAATTTGCATTATAGTTGCCCTGATAATGCAATCGCTTTCTAGAAAAAAAATACAAAAAAATTAGACAAAGATTAGATAAAGAATCCCGATAACACAGAGAACACGTTTGGTTGTTGTTTTTTTTTTTTCAAAATGGTTCCAACGAATCACAACTGAAATTACTTTAATATGACATATCATTCGACCCATTCAATTTTCATTTGTTTTTATCTTATTTACCCAGCAAAAAAAAAAAGTAAACCGACGCCAAAGTTTTTCACAAAAGTCAGTGGTCGAACATTAAATTCTCTCGTGATCAACTACTCGCAATGTTTTCTAACTTAGTAGCGTAATTTATTTTACGCACATTATCTGAACCATTGAAAATTTGAAAAACAATGAAAGTTGGGCCAGCGAAAATTTATAAATCAATCAGCAAACACTCAAAGGTCGACATCAATTTATAAAACCAATCACATTATTATCTCAGTTAGATTTGTATTTCATTTCATATTACCATTGACTTCAAACTCTGACATTGATGTATCAATTAAACGTCAAAAAAATACAATTGAATACCTATGTCATGTAATTAACCAAGTTCAATCAAATTTATCTTTCTGCTGAAAAAATGTATTCAAGTGATCGAAAAAATCAACGTGTCGAGAAAATAAATACTGATTAGATAATCAGAAACGTAGTCAACAGACAGTTGGAACTGTTGTTCAAGTAAAGGAAACAAAACAAATTGATCAAATTTCAAACCGTGACAATGAAAGCAAAACATAGCCAAAAAAGTTGAAAACGAGTCAATGAACTCAGGAAAAACCAAAAGAAAACGAATAGCCTTTTTAGAACAATAACACAAGCACAAGCAAAAAAGCTAATAAATAGTTATAAAAAGCAAAAAGGTAAGAAAAAAAGATAAAAAAAATTTAAATAACATTTGAAAAACAAATACTTTTACGGGAATCTAACAACTAGCCACTCGTAAAGCGGATAACACATGAAATCAAATTGCCAATACTATGCGGCAAAAGTGTTCTAGAAAAAAAAAACACTTTTTTATGCGAGTTGGATCGGAAAAAATGGCCTCGTACAATAACACGATGCTCTTAATCTAGCTTAGCAAAACCTAACCCAATTATAGAAAACTGGATCAATCGATATTTTTCCTTACACTAGTAAATATAAAACTTAAAATCCACTTTCGAAACTGAGTTTATTTACGTTTTTTTAACACAATTTGCCTTTTCGTAATTGGAGATTGTAACTTGCCATCCATAAAGCGAACAAATTTGCGTTGAGCTTGAAAAATTAAAAGTCAAACCACAAAAAATCGAAATTGAGCGTGAACAAGATTTAAGACAATTTCCTAAAAAATGAACTCAATAAGTGTGCTCAACCCACGTTCTCTGACACTGTAAAATGGAATTCAAGCACTCAAACTTTTTCGAGAAAAGTAACCTAATTTGAAAATAATTAGCAATTTTTTCACTTAGATGCGAAGTTGCAATTATGACCGATAACGTTACTGGGAAAAACTAAATGAGTAAAACTTTCAGTTTGAAAAATTTCTTTAGTGACGCACGCCAGTTATGAGTCTACATAATTGGTATGTGACGCAGTACCAGTCAGTTTGAAAAAAAAATTACCAACTAACATGCATCAATTTATAGAGCGGACGTATTTTAACTAGTATACGAAAAAGTTGATTAAAACAACCGACCCTGCCCAGGTTCGAACCCTCTTATTTTGTTGCGGGTCTCCTTCCTTACCTCTACGCTACAGATCCACGATACCTTGAAGCTTAAGTGCAATTTGTAAAATAAAAGCCTGTGTTAAAATGCTTAGCATTGGCTGCACTTAATAGCTGGTTATTGATCAAAATAAAAACACTTTGAAAATGAACACTAATATTTGCTACTTAGGTTGAAAAAAAAGAGATTTCATACTGTCACACAAGCTTTGCTTGTGTAAATAAGTAAAACATTGAAAAAAGCATAGTTCAATTTTGCACCCCATTTGCAATTTTGTTATTGAGGAAGAGAGTGTCGTAGTTTGCTTCGAAAATCGAACTAGACTGCTCATAACAGGCCGAAGCCCTGAATGTTCCGACTGCCTTTTAAGGTTTTTTTGGAGCAGTAATAACATCAAAAAATTAAATGTAATAAAATAAAATGAAATTTTTTTTCTCTAAAATTTGAAATTTTTTATGAAAATCATCCCCCCACACGCCATATAAAGTACAAAAGGATAGATTTAGCTCCTTGTAACAAATCAATTATGGCAAATAAGCTTCCTTCAACCAATTTGGAACGATTTTAAGACGGATTAAATCTCCGCTTACGCGTTAATAGCGCGAAATATATCGCGCGTTAATTGTCCCAAATTGGCCAAATGGCAATCTTTAAACCCCCATAAATTTACGAAAAATGATCACAGCTGATATAACTTTTCAATTTTGAGCTCAGGGCAACAATAGCTTTCGAATGATATGAAAAAATTCCGTCAAAAATGGCTAGTTAAAAAGTCGAAATTTGTCTGAAGAAAAAAAAAACCCACCCCGAGCACAAATATTCCGTTACTTTCGTATCGAAAGTCGGAACAATGAGAACTTGAAAAGTATTCACAGTTCAAACCGCGAAAAATTAAAAATTCGTACACTTTTTCTTGAAAAAGAAATTCGTACACTTTTTCTTGAAAAACAAACTGAACTACACGACCCAACTGAGTGAAAATCCACTTCGTTTACTTAATTTCATAGCAATCTAAATGCTTAGATAAGTAAAGTCGATAATTTATGTCGTTTGAAAATCAAACAAATGTAAACCCCTTTGAAATAATGTTGCCTGTACTCACTTTCATTGCAGACTTTATTGAGAATAGAAGCGTAATTCCTCCGTTCCCATTCCGGAATCAAGTTATTTTGTCTGATCATAATTTCCAGCCTCGTCATTTTGCCCTCCAACACTGACTTCGGTGCTACCTTCAAAATTGTTCGCTTCAGTGGTACTTTTTTCACCGATTCAGCTTTTTTCTGCTTCCTGCTCATCTTATTCTGCTTCTTGTTTTTAGCGTTACACCGCCGTGGATTTTTGACTAAGGTGTTTACAGGATGAATATAATTTTGAGATAAAGCAGGTTGTAATCGAAACGCTGTGTCCCATGGAGGCGGAATCCAGGGTCGAAATCCTCCACTGCTGCGCAGAGCGGTTGTTCCTAATGAAGGATATGTTGGTCTTGGCCACCGTTGATGTTGTGAAGCACAATGGTTTGCGGGTTGACTATACTCTTGAGCAGAATTCGTAACTGCGCCGCCATGAAAATTCGCCACGGGATCGCTGAACAAATGGAACCCCAGGCTAGCTTGGCACCGTTGTAACAGATTAGATACTGATGACTGATCCCATCCGTAAATAATTAACAACTTGGCACATGCAGCATTGATTGCTCCTAATGCAGATGATGCTGAAATAAAAAAAAACTAAAAACTCGATATTCTTGCTGAAGATATTAAAGGACAATAGAAAACCATTTCAATACCTTAATTCCTTTCGACAAATTGTCTATTGCAAATGAAAAATTGATTTAGCTACAATGCGCGACACTGGTCATGAAAGAGCTTTACAGAAACATTAACAGAGCGGAGAACGCATTTCTACACTCTTTGGAAAAAGTTAATTGGTTCATGAAACTTTTGGTCCATAATAAGGGGAGCGGTGGAGAAGCTGTTACGTCTACACCTGTTAATTATGAATATTTATGAAGTTATTTTTATATACTTTACAGATATCGATGTTGGTTTGAACTAACAAACGTCTGTCATTTTAATACCAGCAGGATTATTGCTGCAATATCGATCTACAAGCAGATGGCTGAAAATGATCGTGCAGTCATGATTTAAAAATTCTGCACGTGATGTGCGAAAGAAATATGAGACGTAGAAGAAAAGCGAACGCTAGCATAGCATTGACTTTGGTTCTGTACAGAGAGGTTGCACTAGAAGTTCCTGTGCCAAACTTAAAGCAGAAAATGGCCTGAAATCTTGATTGGTCGGCGTGATGATGCGTTTGAGTTAGAAAAATCTGACAGAGCATATGGAATTTGTGAGGCGTTCGAGACCAGCATCTTAATAAGTATCAGAGTACGTTGTAGCGTTTGAAGATCAAATCATCGAGCTGCTGCCCTTGGAATGACCGTTAAAGCTTGCTTTAACCGACCCGGTTAAAGCGTACAAACTATTAAAAACTGCTAATATGTCACAGAAAGGCCAAATGTCTCGACCTACATCATTTGACCATTTTGGGCAGCAATATCTGGTATCTACACTTTATCAACATTTTCTCGCGTTTCAGTCAAGCAGTGATAGTTGAGAGCAAGGCTGTTCAAAAATTAATGGGGGAAAAAATTAACGGCCATTAATGGATGGCCATTAATGGATTTTTTAATATTCAAAATGGCATTAATGGATTTTTAATTCGAAAAATTAAAGGCTATTTCCGTTATTTCAGAGAAAGATGTCTTGTGCGGTGGAAAGTGGAAATCCAAACAAAGTGCAAACAACTTTTTGGAGCCGACCTCGAACCGTATTGAAAGATTTTTCAGCGCAACTGGGTATTCTCTGGGTGACCTGCGGCAGTCAATAAACCCTTTACATCTCGAAGAACAGCTCTTTCTCAAAGCCAATGCACGAATGTGGAATGTTGAAACCGTCAATGACGCTCTTCAAGAAGAAAACTGAGAAACATTCGAACTGAACGCCATTAATGGCCATAATGGCCATTAATGGATTTTTAGTTTTCTCCATTTCCGTTAATTGATTTTTCGCTGAAATTCAATTTTTCAATTGAAAATTAATTTTTGAGCAGCCTTGGTTGAGAGCAAGCTACCTTCGGAAATCATGGGAGCATCCTTTCAGCAGTAGATATCTGCGCTCGGTCATTTTAATCAAGTCATCATTGACAATGGATGATAATTCAGTGACGAAGATTTGCGTTCAATGGTTACAACTGCCGCGAGGAGTCCATTGGGATTTGAGAGAGAAACAATGTTGTAGTTACTGAATTGCTGTTGAAGCTAGTAGAACACCATCACAAAAAAGTTGAAATTCACCACGCGCAGGCTGTTTCAGCCAAGAATTCGTAGCAAAAATGATATGGGTTTTTGCCTTATCAAACTGCTTTGGGGAAACCCCCTGTACCAGATTTTTCAGACCATAATAGTACAGCTGACATCGAAGACAAAACGAATTCGCAAGTTGTGGTTGATCAAAGGAACTCATTGCATGACGCAATAGTAGCTTTCAAGAAAGCTCAAAGCTCTAATCGGATTCGACAAGCTTTCAGAGCTAAATTGAAAATGTCTGTAGGGCCTTTCAAACGTGAATTAGTTTTTGTTTCAAACCCAGGGTGCTTAAGAAGACTCTTTGAGCCTGACATTGAAGCAGAAAATTTAATTCAGGAGTTGAACACGTGAACTGAATCTAGTTTGCCTACGAGAGACCCTGAGGTCATAATCGACAATTATGTTAATGAACCAGGAAGCAAATCTCTCAGAACGACAGCAGAAACGATTTATTATTACTGAAGTAACGACCCTGAACAGGCTCGACCTGCACAAGTTACTTTGAACATGACTATCCCAAAAGTGAGACAGCACGTTTTGTTTTTAAGCAAAAATCTGATCAAAACATATGGTATAAATCAAAAATTAGCGACAAAACAGGTTAGAATGAAAATAAAAACAAAAACTGGAGAAATTTCGAGTATCTTGAGGGGGAGTTAGAGGGAACGAAAGGATGTATTGACTAGAGCAGAAATGTTAAAACTTGTGAAGCTCATGATTCACAAAAGAACATAGAAACTTCAGAAGATTTGAACGCGTTTTACAAAAAGAAAATTACAAACCACAGACCAATAACCAGTTAGATAATTCGGCAAAAAGGTTTAAGAGTGAGAGAGAGATACGAGCCCGAATAAGGTTTTTGCAGCAACTTCAGAGGTGTATCTGGGAGCAAAGTTGAAGGAGATGGGTGTCTAAAAAAAAGTACCTGGTAGCAAAATTTCCACTAGGTGGGTGCTGATATCAAAAAACAACGTACTGAAGGCTTGGTTGGGAGCTAAAGGACTCTAAGATAACACAATTCCAAAAACTAAATCAATGCGTGATTCGCCTACATGCTCCCGAGAAATGCTACATCGTTATTCTACTCATGGGAGCTTTTTTTGATCGTTGAACTCGCTAGACGTCAAAACGGCATCGTTTTTAAAGGGTGATAACAAGAACTAAACAATGGAACCAAACTTCCAATTTAAGCAAATTGTGAAAAATCTTAAGACTTCTTCATAAATGTGTATATGGGCTTAATCATGCATCCAAACAACGGTAGATATCAATTCACAGATGCCTAACACATAGAGCAGTTCAAACTTCTAAGCATGATTGATGTGCGTTTTTTTATCACAGAGGTCAACAACGCTTGCGAGGAATATTTTGCTGCCATGTCGGCTGCTAGGTATAGACTGCATATTCACATTTTGAGACAAGTTTCGAAAAGTTCCAAAGTTTTTTTTGCCATTGGAAGTGAAGGCAGCTGAGTTTTTACTTATTTGGGTACCTGTATTATGACAGAACCAGGAGAACTTTGATCAAACAGTTTGGTTAAATAAAAACATTGGAACAAACTTCTGAAACAGTAAGTGACTCTTAGGCTTTACCAATGAGAATTCCGGCAATTTTGACAGTTAATTACGGTTAAAAAAATACCGGAAAATTCCGCAATTTTGTGAACGCCTCTACTATCTATGACAAAATAAAATAACTTTCAAACACTTGAATAATTTATTCAAAAGTGGAGTGTTATCATGAAGCAAAACCAATTTTTCCGATAAGTCTGGAGTCAATCTGTTCCGTTTAACGGAAATGACGCTGCTAGGGCCTTTTAAACGTGAATTATCATGATCGTTTTTTAAAAACTCAGGATGCTAAAGACAGTGAGCCTGAAATTGACGCGAAAAAATTCATGCAGTAGTCGAACACGCAAACTGAATCTAGTTTGCCTACGAGAGACCCTGAAGTCATAATAGATAATTATGTCAATGAACGAGCCAGCAAATCTCTCAGCACGACAGCAGAAACGATTTCGGATTACTGCGGTAACGATCCTGCACATTACTCTGAACACGACTATCCCAAAATAGAGACAGCACGTTTTGTTTTTGAGCAAAAATCTGATCAAAACGTATCGTATAAAGCAAAAACTAGCAATAAAGCTGGCAAGAATAATAACAAAAACAAGAATTGGCTGAATGACGCAATAGTAGCTTTCAAGAAAGCTCAAAGCTCTAATCGGATTCGACAAGCTTTCAGAGCTAAATTGAAAATGTCTGTAGGGCCTTTCAAACGTGCATTAGTTTTTGTTTCAAACCCAGGGTGCTTAAGAAGACTCTTTGAGCCTGACATTGAAGCAGAAAATTTAATTCAGGAGTTGAACACGCGAACTGAATCTAGTTTGCCTACGAGAGACCCTGAGGTCATAATCGAAAATTATGTTAATGAACCAGGAAGCAAATCTCTCAGAACGACAGCAGAAACGATTTATTATTACTGAAGTAACGACCCTGAACAGGCTCGACCTGCACAAGTTACTTTGAACATGACTATCCCAAAAGTGAGACAGCACGTTTTGTTTTTAAGCAAAAATCTGATCAAAACATATGGTATAAAGCAAAAATTAGCGACAAAGCAGGTTAGAATGAAAATAAAAACAAAAACTGGAGAAATTTCGAGTATCTTGAGGGTGAGTTAGAGGGAACGAAAGGATGTATTGACTAGAGCAGAAATGTTAAAACTTGTGAAGCTCATGATTCACAAAAGAACATAGAAACTTCAGAAGATTTGAACGCGTTTTACAAAAAGAAAATTACAAACCACAGACCAATAACCAGTTAGATAATTCGGCAAAAAGATTTAAGAGTGAGAGAGAGATACGAGCCCGAATAAGGTTTTTGCAGCAACTTCAGAGGTGTATCTGGGAGCAAAGTTGAAGGAGATGGGTGTCTAAAAAAAAGTACCTGGTAGCAAAATTTCCACTAGGTGGGTGCTGATATCAAAAAACAACGTACTGAAGGCTTGGTTGGGAGCTAAAGGACTCTAAGATAACATAATTCCAAAAACTAAATCAATGCGTGATTCGCCTACATGCTCCCGAGAAATGCTACATCGTTATTCTACTCATGGGAGCTTTTTTTGATCGTTGAACTCGCTAGACGTCAAAACGGCATCGTTTTTAAAGGGTGATAACAAGAACTAAACAATGGAACCAAACTTCCAATTTAAGCAAATTGTGAAAAATCTTAAGACTTCTTCATAAATGTGTATATGGGCTTAATCATGCATCCAAACAACGGTAGATATCAATTCACAGATGCCTAACACAGAGCAGTTCAAACTTCTAAGCATGATTGATG